AGAGGAGAGTGCAAACGAGACACGGGCAGGCAAGAGGAGAGGCAGTGCAAGAACAAGGCAGGAGGAGGAGTGTGGGGAGGTGACAAGGAAGCGATGTGAATCACCACAGTGAATCACCACAGTGAATCGCCACAGTGAATCACCACAGTGAATCACCACAGTGAATCACCACAGTGAATCACCACAGTGAATCGCCACAGTGAGTCGCCACAGTGAATCACCACAGTGAATCACCACAGTGAATCGCCACAGTGAGTCGCCACAGTGAATTACCACAGTGAATCACCACAGTGAATCACCACAGTGAGTCATCAGAGTGAATAATCACAGTGAGTTATCAGTGTGAATAATCACAGTGAGTCATCACAGTGAATAATCACAGTGAGTCATCAGAGTGAATAATCACAGTGAGTTATCAGTGTGAATAATCACAGTGAGTCATCACAGTGAATAATCACAGTGAGCCACCACAGTGAATAATCACAGTGAGTCATTACAGTGAATAATCACAGTGAGTCATCAGAGTGAATAATCACAGTGAGTCATCAGTGTGAATAATCACAGTGAGTTATCAGTGTGAATAATCACAGTGAGTCACCACAGTGAATAATCACAGTGAGTCATCACAGTGAATAATCACAGTGAGTCATCAGTGTGAATAATCACAGTGAGTCATCAGTGTGAATAATCACAGTGAGTCACCACAGTGAATAATCACAGTGAGTCATCGCAGTGAATAATCACAGTGAGTCATCAGTGTGAATAATCACAGTGAGTCACCACAGTGAATAATCACAGTGAGTCATCAGAGTGAATAATCACAGTGAGTCATCATAGTGAATAATCACAATGAGTCATCAGTGTGAATAATCACAGTGAGTCATCAGAGTGAATAATCACAGTGAGTCATCAGAGTGAATAATCACAGTGAGTCATCAGTGTGAATAATCACAGTGAGTCATCAGTGTGAATAATCACAGTGAGTCATCAGTGTGAATAATCACAGTGAGTCATTAGAGTGAATACTCACAGTGAATAATCACAGTGAGTCATCAGTGTTAATAATCACAGTGAGTCATCAGAGTGAATAATCACAGTGAGTCATCAGTGTGAATAATCACAGTGAGTCATCAGAGTGAATAATCACAGTGAGTCATCAGAGTGAATAATCACAGTGAGTCACCACAGTGAATAATCACAGTGAGTCACCACAGTGAATAATCACAGTGAGTCATCAGAGTGAATAATCACAGTGAGTCATCAGAGTGAATCACCACAGTGAGTCATCACAGTGAATAATCACAGTGAGTCATCAGTGTGAATAATCACAGTGAGTCATCAGAGTGAATAATCACAGTGAGTCATCATAGTGAATAATCACAGTGAGTCATCAGAGTGAATAATCACAGTGAGTCATCATAGTGAATAATCACAGTGAGTCATCATAGTGAATAATCACAGTGAGTCATCAGTGCGAATAATCACAGTGAGTCACCACAGTGAATCACCACAGTGAGTCATCACAGTGAGTCACCACAGTGAATAATCACAGTGAGTCATCACAGTGAATAATCACAGTGAGTCATCAGAGTGAATAATCACAGTGAGTCATCAGTGTGAATAATCACAGTGAGTCATCAGAGTGAATAATCACAGTGAGTCATCAGTGTGAATAATCACAGTGAGTCATCAGAGTGAATAATCACAGTGAGTCATCACAGTGACTCATTAGTGACTAATCACAGTGAGTCATCAGAGTGAATAATCACGGTGAGTCATCAGAGTCAATAATCACAGTGAGTCATCAGTGTGAATAATCACAGTGAGTCACCACAGTGAATCACCACAGTGAGTCACCACAGTGAATCACCACAGTGAGTCATCACAGTGAATGATCACAGTGAGTCATCAGAGTGAATAATCACAGTGAGTCATCAGAGTGAATAATCACAGTGACTTATCAGTGTGAATAATCACAATGAGTCATCACAGTGAATAATCACAGTGAGTTATCAGTGTGAATAATCACAGTGAGTCATCAGTGTGAATACTCACAGTGAGTCATCAGAGCGAATAATCACAGTGAGTCATCACAGTGAATAATCACAGTGAGTCATCAGTGTGAATAATCACAGTGAGTCATCACAGTGAATCATCACAGTGAGTCATCAGAGTGAATAATCACAGTGAGTCATCAGAGTGAATAATCACAGTGAGTCATCAGTGTGAATAATCACAGTGAGTCATCATAGTGAATAATCACAGTGAGTCACCACAGTGAATAATCACAGTGCGTCATCAGTGTGAATAATCACAGTGAGTCACCACAGTGAATAATCACAGTGAGTCATCACAGTGAATAATCACAGTGAGTCATCAGTGTGAATAATCACAGTGAGTCATCAGTGTGAATAATCACAGTGAGTCATCATAGTGAATAATCACAGTGAGTCACCACAGTGAATACTCACAGTGAGTCATCAGTGTGAATAATCACAGTGAGTCATCAGTGTGAATAATCACAATGAGTCATCACAGTGAATAATCACAGTGAGTCATCAGTGTGAATAATCACAGTGAGTCACCACAGTGAATAATCACAGTGACTCATCAGAGTGAATAATCACAGTGAGTCACCACAGTGAATACTCACAGTGAGTCATCAGTGTGAATAATCACAGTGAGTCATCAGAGTGAATACTCACAGTGAATAATCACAGCGACTCATCAGGGTGACTAATCACAGTGAGTCATCAGAGTGAATAATCACAGTGAGTCATCAGTGTGAATAATCACAGTGAGTCATCAGAGTGAATAATCACAAGTCATCTCAATGTTGCTGGGGGTAAACAAGAGACTGCTCCACATGCGGCGAGATCTCTCTCAGTCGAACGTTGAGAACTCCCTTGCCATGTCAACAGACTCCTCAAGTGGCTGATGGAGGTCTGGCTAAGAGCGGAGGTGTCCCTTGCTCTACAACATCTTTCACATCCACCCGGACTCATCACGATAGACTAACATCGCAGCACTGGATGTTAGCAATCATGTATTAGACTTGTCTTCGTTAAAGCTAAATCATGATTTTGCTTCTCATATGTATACCAATTCCATGTTGTGTTAGTTGTTTACAGAGATGGGTGTTTTTTTCCTGGTTGATCAAGTTTATGTTAATTTATGTTTACTTTTAAAACGGTGTTTGAAATAAAATAAAATATTTTTTTATTGTCCTGGTTAAGTGCCACTCATGATTTCAAAACTAAACACATTAACACATTGATGTACAGTATCTTAAAAATCTTCAAAAGGAAGTTTTGTTAACGGAAGTCTGCAGAAGCTGGGCACTGATAAACTCTCGTTACTTCATTCCACCTTTCAGCATTTAAAGAATTCAATCTATCACTCGGAGAAAAATAAAAGTTTTAACGGAATTCAAATGTCACGAAAAGAAAAAAAACCAGTTTGTTTTCGGTTGATATTGCTTTAGAGTCTTGTATCATTGGTCAAACGATAACATCACAGCCACACGAACTGAACCCCGGCACTCTTCTCAAGAGGCTCCATGACCCCCAAGACGATCGCGCGCAGTGCAGGCGGTCTCGGATCGAATCGTCGGACCTTGTTACAGCCGTGAGGCGCCTTCGCCCTCCTCCTCCTCTGACGGCCTTTAGCTTGAGAGGGCAACATCACAGCTGCTGCTGCTGCTGCTGCTGCGATTCAAAGCCAACCACGGTGGTGGTGCACTGCTGACTTTGAGAGTTCCCGAAGGAATCTTTCTTTGCCTCGGGGCCATGGCGACACCAACAGCCGCAGACGCAACAGAATTGGGTGGAGGGGAGAGGGCAGAAGCGACGGTGCACAAAGGGCCCTTTGCCGCAGGTCCGCACCCTGCGCCGTGCAAACTCGCAATGTCGCAAGCAACCGGACGCGGGTGAAAGGAAATCAAGAACACGATCGACCGTTAATCCCACGAAAAATAAAAAAAAATCCCAAATGCACGGACTGATAAGCCCACAACAAGCAATGTGCCAATTGGGATGTAGCGTCGAGTACAGGTGTGGTCAGATAAAAGGCGTTGTGGGTGGTACGGCATCGTGGGAATACCCACAATGCGCTGGAAGCTCCGCGGAGAACACGAAATGCTCGTGCAGCAGCAGCAGCACAACCTCGCCACAGGACCAAACTTGACCGAGGCAGCCACGCAAGGACCAGCCGCCATCGGCGCCACCCTCAGGGCCTCTGCAACACGCCGGGCGCGTCACGCGCGTCGCTACGAGCACTGCTGGAGACGTGGCGGTCACAGACGCGGCGACCTCGCGGCCCACATGAGCAAAAGGGCTGAGGATGTCCCAGTCCCCCCCCCGCCCCCCCGTCGGTGAGTATGGGACGTTCACTCGTAAGGCTAAAGCTTTGGAGAGAATGGTGGGGGGGGATTGGTGGGGGGGGATTGGTGGGGGGGGGATTGGTGGGAGGGGATTGGTGGGAGGGGGATTGGTGGGAGGGGATTGGTGGGAGGGGATTGGTGGGGGGGATTGGTGGGGGGGGGATTGGTGGGGGTATTTGGTGGGGGGGGATTGGTGGGGGGGGATTGGTGGGGTGGGATTGGTGGGGGGGGATTGGTGGGGGGGGGGGGGATTGGTGGGGGGGGATTGGTGGGGGGGGATTGGAGGGGGGGGGGGGAAGACAAGACGGAGGCTGAGCGGTTCATGGCGAGATCCCCTCCACCCCCCTTCCTCCCCTTGGCTGCCCGAGCGAGGTTTGCGCACTGTGCGCTACTGCGACTCTGTGGCATGGAAGGGATGGCGCTTCCGTCGGGATGCAGGCGTCGTCCTCGTCCTCGTCGTCATCCTCGTCATCGTCGTCGTCGCTGTGCGGGGCAGTGCATGCACGACAGATACAGCGCCGGAGACACAAAAGCTGCAGCCGTGGGATCTGCGACGGCATCGGTATTTTCCGTTTCTATGCATGCAGTACAATATATAATTACATGGTTTAAGAGGCTCTTCAGATCGATAACTTTATTGCAGGTATAAAGAAGAAGTTTCAAAAGAGTAAAGCTCGGGTTAAACCAATAGAGGAAACATCACATCCTGAGGTTGAAAGGTGGAACGTTCAGCGGCGAGACCCTAGGATGTGGCACAGAAGGCCGAGAACGAATAATAAGTCAAGTTTCAGGAAGGAAGCAAAAGGAATACAACGAAGGATTCACCCACTCACTCGCGAGCTCAAAGTAAATTCCTCCTCAGGCCGGCTCACGCACGCCCGTGACGATGTCACGTCCCGCAAGTACACGGCCAGGTGCACACGTGCTCCCAAAGTGAGCGTGCAGCATTTCAGAACCCAGTCGACTGCTTGGACTCCCTCTCTCTCTCTCTCCCGAACCCTCTCGAACGCTCCCTCTTTCTCCGTCTCTCTCGCGCCGATCTGAGATCCCCGTGGCGCGAGTCCCTTTCAGAGCCCGACACCAAACCCGCACCAGAGAATGCCGGCAGCGTTTTCCAGTTTCGAGAGACGCGCGTCCATAAAATGCGACGTAGGAACGCTCGTTTGCCGCACGACAACACACATCGTAGACAAAAATGGGAAAATAATTTAACGTTTTAAAACAAAACTAAACCGACATTTCGAACGACGACAGTATATTTTGCTGTATTGTTAATCATTGCTTGTAAGGGTGCGGAGGGCGGTCGCGTTGTGGATGTCTGCGGTGTCGCCGACATCGGCAACGTTGCTACCGGTGTGCCGAACCGCAGCAGGGAGGACAAACTTCGCCAGATCCCCCTGTAGCCTCGCGCATCCACCCCCCCCAAATAAATTCGCTTTTTCCAAAACATCGAGCCCTTTGCTTTTGCAAAAGGTCAGGTCGGTGTGGATCTGCCGGTGTGGATCTGCCGGTGTGGATCTGCCGGTGTGGATCTGCCGGTGTGGATCTGCCGGTGTGGATCTGCCGGTGTGGATCTGCTGGTGTGGATCTGCCGGTGTGGATCTGCCGGTGTGGATCTGCCGGTGTGGATCTGCCGGTGTGGATCTGCCGGTGTGGATCTGCTGGTGTGGATCTGCCGGTGTGGATCTGTCGGTGTGGACCTGCCGGTGTGGATCTGTCGGTGTGGTTCTGCCGGTGTGGTTCTGCCGGTGTGGATCTGCCGGTGTGGATCTGCCGGTGTGGATCTGCCAGTGTGGATCTGCCAGCGGTTCCCCTTACAGTCCCAACCCCTCCCCCACTGCTCCGAGTTATTATCGGTCTTGTCGCGCATTTATTTAATTATGTTATTATTGTTGTTGTTATAGTTTTTGAGTGCGGGCGAAGTTGGACCGGGGGGGGGGGAGGGGCTTATTGGTCGTGCTCCTCTCCCTCCTCGTCGCTGTCGCGCATGGTGACGCCCGCCAGGCCCCCTCCCTCGTTGACGCTCGCCGTCGCCTCCTCCACGATCAGACGGTTGCGCACCGTCTCGTACGTCTTGCTGTTCAGCGTCACGTCCAGCACGCCCTGCAGCCGGAAGTCGCGGAACATTTTCTGGAAAAGGGAAGAAGAAAAGAGAGGACACTCGTCGTCAGGGCCGTCCGTGGCGGGAGGTGTGGGCCAGGTCGACTCCTCCACTACAAATTTCACTCTCTAACCACTGCCACCTGCCTGGACACCGTACCAGGGTCCTGGGCAAGAGAGGGAATTCGGCCTCCTGCCCCATGTCCCCTCCTCCCCCTCTTCATAGCCCCAGCCGACTGTGGGTTCAGGTGCCGTCGCACCGCCTGCACACTTGCCAGCCACGACGTTCCGTCACCGCCGTGGACGTCATCGTCGCCGTCATCGTCGTCATCGTCGTCGCCGTCATCATCGTCGTCGTCGTGTCGTCATCATCATCGTCGTCGTGTCGTCATCATCGTCATCGTCGTCGCCGTCATCGTCGTCGCCGTCATCATCGTCGTCGCCGTCATCGTCGTCGCCGTCATCATCGTCGTCGTCGTGTCATCGTCGTCATCATCATCGTCATCGTCGCCGTCATCGTCGTCATCGTTGTCGCCGTCATCATTGTCGTCGTCGTGTCGTCATCGTCGCCGTCGTCATCGTCGTCGCCGTCATCGTCGTCGCCGTAATCGTCATCGTCGTCGCCGTCATCATCGTCGTCGTCGTGTCATCGTCGTCATCATCATCGTCGCCGTCATCGTCGTCATCATTGTCGCCGTCATCATCGTCGTCGTCGTCGTCGTGTCGTCATCATCGTCATCATCGTCGTCATCATCGTCGTCATCGTCGCCGTCGTCGTCATCGTCATCAACGTCGTCATAATTGTCACGGTCGTCATCATCGTCGTCATCGCCGTCGTCATCACCTTGACGATGCGGATGAGCGTCTTGAGCTGGAAGACGTGCAGCTGCAGATCCACACGGTCCGTGAGCCACGTGCAGGTCGTGGCCATTGCCGCCGTGTACCATTGCTGGCACGACGAGGGGGAAGAGAAAGAGGAGGGGGAGCAGGAGGAGCAGGACACACGGGAGGTGGAGCACGAGACACGGGAGACAATGGGAAAGGAGAGAAGGCTGCGATGAGGGGGGTGAGGGGAAGGGTGTAGGCGGTGGGGTGGGAGGTGGTGGCAGCGGGGCGAGCGAGGGACGTCTCGGGAGCGCAGGTGGAGACGTCGGCGAGGGCGTGCGTGCGAGGGCGTGCGTGCGAGGGCGTGCGTGCGAGGGCGTGCGTGCGAGGGCGTGCGTGCGAGGGCGTGCGTGCGATTCCAGCGTGAGGGTGGCGTGGGGAGGAGGGATGTGGCAAGGCAGGAGGCACGGCAACACAGAGGCGGTGCCGTGGGTGTCATGCCAAAGAGATGAGTCGAGAGCCACTGAAGCAGGGCCCTATGGGGGTGTCGTTGTGAACGGTGCGAAGGGTGACTGATGGATCCCTCAAAACTGAACGTTTTTGGTCGCAAAAGCCTACAAGGTGTTAAACTAAATTTTTTTAGAGCGGAGAGAGGTAAAAAAAAAACATGGAGGTGATGTTATCGAACACAGCGACGACATTGTATCCTGAAATACATTCCGCTCAAGTATCCGGACGAGATACACAAGATGAAGAATTTAAAATCGGTGGGCGAGTCCAATTCTATCGGCCATAGAGGCATCGTCCACGATCACGTGACGATAACGAGGCAGCGGTTTGAGCTGGTTCCAGAGTCCCCGAGCGCTCGCAGGTACACGCGCTTGGTGGTCAGCGTGCCGATGTTCACCGCACGAGTCGCATGCCCCCCACGCTCCTCCGAGCGACAGCGTGGCCGCGTCGCGCATCCTAGCGAGATGCGATCATTCGAAGGGGTTCGCCACGCACCTCCTCCCAGGCTTCCTGTTTCAACGGGGTTTAGCAAATGGGCTGTTGAAAATCACTCAAGGTTCGGGGTGTGTTTGGCTTAGCGGTTCACCTTAAATAGATAAATATTATAAATGTTTCCGAAATTATCTACATGGAGTTCAAAGGACTGTCCAATGTTGAGGCCTTAATGATAGACGATAATTCAACGTGACCCCTGTGTTATGTAGGGCGCGTTACATGATAGCGACAATGTCAAGAATGCCATTACTAATATATGATGTAATGTGTGTTTACGTCTGTTTTAATTAGAGTCATTAATTTATTCACATTCTGAAGAGACAGACCTAAAATAATTAAGTTACACTGGAATTTGGTAATAAATTTAATTACAATACTCGTAAAAAAACCAGAAGTAATAAGAATGGATTATTATTACAATATTTTGTTGATATCAAAACGTTGTTGTAATTATATTTCATTAAAATAACGTTAATTTTCGGCTAGATGTGTTTTTGTTCCAGCCATTTGCTCACATCACCACTTCGAGAAAATTTTACTAATTTCCCACCACAAATTATGATAACAACAAAAAATCCACTTCAACAAAAAAAAAAACTAAACGTTCACGTTATTACACACATAACAAAAAATAATCCCATTAACGAATCCCCAAAATCCAACACAACCCCACAAACGTATTTTTTCCCATTGCTTGCGCATTTTCCCGGGCACCGTTGCGACGAGCGCTGCCGCCGCCCAATCGCTTCGACGCAGCGGCAGCGCCGCGCACAACCCTCGCTCGCCAGGAACACGGCCGGTGGTAACCACCACGCACGCACAACCCTCGCTCGCCAGGAACACGGCGGTGGTAACCACCACGCACGCACAACCCTCGCTCGCCGGGAACACGGCGGTGGTAACCACCGTGCACGCACAACCCTCGCTCGCCGGGAACACGGCGGTGGTAACCACCGTGCACGCACAACCCTCGCTCGCCGGGAACACGGCCGGTGGTAACCACCACGCACGCACAACCCTCGCTCGCCAGGAACACGGCGGTGGTAACCACCACGCACGCACAACCCTCGCTCGCCGGGAACACGGCCGGTGGTAACCACCACGCACGCACAACCCTCGCTCGCCGGCACGGCCGGTGCTGCGCGCCGCGAGTCCCCGCACGGCCGCGCAAGGCGGTCGTAGCGAGTGGCGGGGAGAGCACCAGGAGCACGAGGCGGGAGCTCGTCACGCACTCCCTTGGGGCCGTGACGGCGACACGAGGAGGAGGAGGAGGAGGGTAACGGAGGGGGGGGGGGGAGGAGGTTGGCGTCGCGTGGCGCCTCTCCCTCCTCGGGGTTAAAGAGGCTCGGCGGCTGACGGTGCCGTCGACATATTGCCGGCCCAGCTGTGCCGCCGCACCGCGCGAAAGCCTCCCGCTGAGCCCGCAGCTGCCGCTCCGCTCCGCGCGCTCGCGCGCCACAACAACGGCAGCCGCCACCACCGGCGTCACCATCGTCGCCGCGACACTCCGTGGCTCGGCGTGCGAGGTGGGGAATGGGAGAGCCCCAACGGCGGTGAGCGGCAACAACCGCCACCTCCCCCCCGCCCCACGCGACATAAGACGCCGCTCGAGGGACGACGGCGGCGGCTACGGTTGTGTTCCCGCGGTTTATATTTTTATTTTTAATACCTAGCTCTTCTCTCCCCGCCCCGACGCAAATGGTACCCAGCCGAGGCAGCGGGGCGTCCGCACACTTGGCCCCAATGCTGATGCAATACTTCGTTTAAGGTTAAAAGTGATGGCGTTTTGAAAGCGTGGATGTGTGTGTGGGTTTTGTTGCTGCTGGCAGCACGTGAATCTGGATCGGACTGATCGGGCAGAGGTTTAACTCTCCACGGCTCGGTGGGAATGTCGCTCCTCTTAAGGCCAATAAATAAAAACCACCCCGCCAGCTACCCACGGCACCTGGGTCTAGTTTCTCTAACCCCCTCCCTGCCCTATTCACGAGACTCTAAGCCACCACCACAAATGGCATCGCCTTACAGCCGTATAAGTAATTCATACATAATTCGTGGTATTTCCTACGTGAAACGGCGATTGTTTTCATCCAGATTTTTCCTCTCTGAGTGAAAATGTGAACGCAGCCAAATGCAATAAGCACATAAATGTATGCACGTAAATATATTGACATTAGCGGTGGAACGCTTCACCCTCTCCTTTCGATTTTTAGAAGGGCCGCGCAGACCCACAATGATGCACACGAGTTCAAAGAAATCGATTCAAGCAAATCGATGCATGCGTCGTGAGCACAAGAATTAATGCAATCTGATGAACCAAGATGATGAACCAAACACACATACGAACACACCAACCGCGATTCGCCACTAAGTGGCGGTGACGTCACCACGACGCTTGTGCCAGACACACACACACACACGCAATTATATTTCTGACCGCCCAAATTTCATGTACACCACATCGTGTTATCCCTCATCATGGGCAGTACAATATTTTGAGAAGGGATTACGAACGTTACCCAAGCGTGTACCTACTCCAGAATGTTTCTGTTGTAATTGAATTGTTAATTATATAATTGCTTTTGCTTTCTGCACAAATACATTTATTCCTGTGGCATGAAGCATGACCACTACTCCTGATAACTGAAGTTATAATTTAAAACCCTTTGTTCAGTCCACTCATGGATGAAGGCCTCGTCACGGCTGGGAAATGGTAGGAGGCCCGGGACCAGGTGAGATGTCACTCTCCATCAATGGGCATCGGACACAGGTCATCGGGTTCAGAGCACTATACCAGCATTCCCAAACACGTCCCGGCTTTTCCGGTGGGTACAAAATTATTCGGCACGTGTCGTGACGGATCCTGCGAGATCCGACTACGTGCGTCTAGAGCTCGCTGAGCTGCATTGGCTTCCGGTTGCCGAACGAATACATCATCGGGTCCCGCTCACGACACACAAAGTGCTTGCTGCAAATGAACCACAATATCTCGCTGATCTCGTCAAGGCGCATAAACCAGCACGTAAACTCCGGTGGTCATCCTCGCAGCAGCGGCTTTTGGCTAGCCGGCGAACATTGCATCGCACGCTTTCGAATGCACTTCTGCGGCCGGCTGGAACGCTCTTCCTTCCGATATTGGGAAGCCATTGGAGCTATGCATGTTCAAATCTACATTGAAAACTAATTTCATCAGAACTGTTTTTTGTCTTTAGTTTGTTGTCCTTCCCCCCCCCCCCCCACACCACCGAGTAGTACGGTTGGCTACGTACGGTGTGAAATATGTCCAATGTACGTACATAAGTACAGCACGGCACGTGCGCGCGGCCCCTGCAAGGTGAGCAGTGAAGCAGACGTCAATGTGAGCAGCAGCGGCGGTGGCGGCAGCGATAAGCACGCGGGCGGCCTGCTCTGGGGAGGCGTCGCACAGTAAGTGCCCCGCAGCACAACCGGGTTTCGCCCCCAGCACTTCGCAGAACTGCCAAGTATCCGCGGTGCTCGTGCGAGGTAACTGTAATCGCCAGGAGCAATGGAAAGCCGTGCACAGTGTGATTGTCCTTCAGCCAGAATTGTCTTGTTTGGGTGGGGGGGCGGCCAATGAGAAGTCTGCTCGGAGTTGATACGGTCATCACAGCACACCCCTGTGAAGATTCCATGGATTGCAGATTGACGATTCTGATTTGGCTTTTTAAATATATAAATACAAATTTCGCCTCGTATTTTCGCCTCGTTTGTACAGATGCTTGCCCCATTTTATCCTAAATGTCATCATTGGCCACGGTAAATCCACTGCTGGATGAAGACCTCCTCCCAAAGCCACCTCCCATGATCCTGCGTAGCGGTGACTACCGTACACCCGCACACGAGCCGATTTAGCCGCTCCATCTCTTTCCATGCACGACCTTATTGATGCCATTCTACTAAATGCAATGTTAGCCAATCGTACTCGAGTATGCCTGCATGGATCTAAGTAATCTATTCCCAGGCGCATCATATGACATATCGTGAGCATAAGAATTGGATTTCAATAATTGAACTGTTCCATACCTAATAACAGTGGCTCAAAATCTGTGAAACCTGAAATATCTGGTGCGGAGATATCGCACCAGATTATTTTTTTTCGTC